GGGGTCTAATGCTATTTCATGCATGTCGAGTTATTTACACAGTTAATTAACGAGTTGGATTTTCATGCTAAACATGGCCAAAGTTTCAAAAAAATTATTTGGATGCATTTCTGAGCCAAATATACTCCTTCCGGGTTCGTAAAAGTTTTGGAAAGTTTTTTTTCGAGCATGACTCATTACGTCATGAAGGTTGGCACTCTTTGTATGGGCATTTCTCCCCTCGCACGCATCGACCAGAGGTGCGTTTCCCAAAAGCATCGTTAGCTAACTATGGTTGTAAGTTCCATTGACCTCTATTAGTAACGACGGAACTAGCAAACATAGTTGCTTTTGGGAAACGCACCCGAGAGCAAGAGCGCGCCCATCAACGCGCTTCATTCGGCAGCGCTGCATGGGACTCACTTGGGAAGAATGTCTCCAAAGAAGTGTGTTTTTGGTTGTAAGGGAAAGATAACTTTGTTCAGCTTCCCAAATAACCGAGCGTTACGTAAACAGTGGATGCAGTTTATTTTTTCCGGGGCAGCAACGGAGTTTCGCAAGTGTGTTCGTTGATGAATGTTTTATAAACAAGGCCCAGTTCAGCGCTGGATTTGCACATCGTTCGATACTGAATGATGGAGCGGTCCCAGCTATAAAAGATCCCGGTCAGTGAAACGGCTTCAAATATCCGTTCAAGCTCAAGTGCTCGTGCCTCTTTAGCTCCGCCCACGACACGCCTCCAGGAGCTCGGCTGTTTAGAGAGAATCGTAAAGCTGTATCTTTCTTTTGTAAATATGATAAAACTAAAGACTCTTTGGAGATATGAAGGATGCAGTACTACTTTATAGGTGCTCAAGATTAACATGAGATTGGGTGAAACTGTGTGTGTTATGTTCCCTTTAATTGTACATTATACTTTCCTTTGCATTATATTACAGAAAACTAGTTAATGCTGCTGCGTGAGTTTTTCTAATATAACAACTCTCGTCTGACTAAAGTAATCACTCTCTCAATCTTTTTTTTCCTTATCTGAAAAGTCATAAAACCGCTACTGTGGATTTTCGCTATTGGAGCAAATGGGAATGCAAAAATTATGTACTGTAGTTTCCGTTCACCACTAAAGAACCCGACTATCAAGACTGCTTCTGAGAAATGTGAAAAGGGTCCATTGGTCCAATACTGAGGTAAGAGAGGAAGTACTAACCCTGTACTCAAAGTCAGAGAACTCTCGTCCTCCTCTGCCGCCTCTAAACCCGCCCCTGAATCCGCCGCCGCCCCCGCGGGAGGGCATGAACGAGCCCCTGCTAGCCGCTCGCCCGCGACCGCCACGGAAGCCCATGCTGCCACCTCTGCCCCGGAAACCTCCGCGTCCACGATTGTGACGCAGAGGAATACCGAACGTCTCGGCGTTCATCCTCCTCTCCTCCGCCCAGGTCTGCCTCCGTTCCCTGAGAGGAAAATGAACGAAAAGCACATCAGAAAGCAAATCAACAGCGTGTCAACTCACAACTGTTGTTGTGCAAGATTCAATACCAAAATTCAACCTTTGACAGGATACCTGCCTAATCTGCAACATGTTTATGTGACATTAATCCTGGAGTGAGCTACATTTGGAGTCTGATTAAAAAAAACAACAACAAAAAACAGCTTGCTTTTATAAGAAGCCATAGACAAATTTGCAGTGAAAGGTTTCACTGTATGAATGTGTGACAACATTTGTAGTAGGCTAAAATGCAACCTGAAAACACAAAGTGTTTTGCAATTTTTGTTGCTTTGGTTATATCATTTGATCAGGGGCCTGTTCCATAAAACAAGTTTAACAAATAAGCCAGGCTTATTTCAGTTAGTCTGACTTATTTTGTACCAAATCAACTGACAATAAGTCAGACTAACTGAAATAAACCTGGCTTATTTGTTAAACCTGTTTTATGGAACAGGCCTCAGGTTTTCAATACTTTGTGACCAATTGATTTAAACATTTTTTAAATTGTTTGTAATAACTGGTTACTTTTAAAATCATTTTAAGAAATCCCACTTACAATTACTCGTATTTCTATTTTAAGAAATAATCCTGCACGACACCATCTGAATTACTTGAATATGATTCAGACTAGAATTCACAAGTGTAGCTTCATAAACACATTAGCATGGCAAAACATTTACATATAAGAAAAAAGACTGCACCTTCCAAAAGCACCTCCTGATTTCTCCTTTCTAGAAAAGACAGAAGAGTGTATGCCTATTAGATGATTCATTCACAGTTACTTCTAAACTTTACCACAACAAATTAGTACACTTAAGGAAGAATGACTCAGTCACTCAAAAGCATTTACACCCTGTTCGAACTGGGTGAGACGTTGAGACTTGAACATTGTAGCAAAATAATGTGTCAATTGTAGCATAACTGTATAGCCTACTACTGTTCGAAAAGCCTATTGCTGAATATTGCATACTGCTTCATAACTTGTCACACCTGAGAACACGCTGTTAATGGACATTAGGGCTGGGATGAAGATACCTATCACCCGATTTTGATCGATCATTTTAATGAACCAATATTAATTCTCAAATCCCAAGATCAATCTTTTAGTCTATGCTGTTTTCAGATGATGTGTAAATAAAACTGTCCATTGTTACTTGGCAAGTCATAGCTTTCAAATTCTGTCAATTTTGCCGCAAAATTTCAACAACAAATGTTGTTTCGGTACTCTTTAATGTGTTGATAGACATCAATAATATGATCATTCAATGTCCATAGCTCAGTCAACGAGACAAAAAATTACTCTAAAGAGAAGCATTTCGCTAAATATATGTATTATATTATATATTGTTTACCTGGAAAGTAAGTGTTCACAGCTTTTAAAAACATTATAAACATGTATTTTAGTTCCTCTCACTCCACAACAAATACTACAGATTTAACAGTGAACAGTACATAAACAAATTCTAGTGGCCTTCATTATAAAAAACATTTATTAGAAACGGCAAGCCAAAGTGAATTTAAAGCAAACTTGATGTTTCGCCAGCTTGAGGTTAACTGCTTTATATAAGCTGAAGCATATTCCACATCAATTAAACTAAAGCAATAAGCCCCGTCAAGCCGTGGTTTACAGTGAATTTATAACAGCTAAGGGGCGTTGTTAGGTATGACGCGAAGCTGTTATAAATTCACTGTAAACCACGGCTTCACGGGGCTTATTGCTTTTATAAAACGGTTATTCCATATACGTAGTAAGGTTTCACAGAATAAAACAAAGCAAATAAAGTGTAATGATATAAATAAAAACAGTATTCTTCCACCAAACAATGTAGTTCCTCAAAAACAGTTGTGTTTGCAACAAAGTGGTTGCCGAGCAACACACAGTAGTAAACAAAGGTGTATGTTTGTAGCGTAATTTACAACAGCTTCGAACGCGGCTCAACCAATCAGAATCAAGGACCGGAACTCTCCGTTTTATAATTCTTTATTTATTTAAATGAGAGGATTCGTTTCCTGAAGAAAGAGTCACATGTACATGAAATATTTCCAAATGAATCAATATCGAATGGAGAATTTTGTGAATTGCAGTCTAATCAAATGGTGCAATCTGTGCCAATACCCAGCCCTAATGAACACACTAAAAACATTAGCGCAGATTAACGAGATCTCACCTGGAGTCGTCACAGGAGATGTTGTCGAAGAAGGACTTGGATTTGTCATAGTAACAGTTGGGTCCCAGTGGATCCTCCTCATCAGCGTTGCCTTCACTGTTCTGGGTCTCCACACCTGAATCGGTCTTCTCCTCCCCATTCAGAGTCTTCTCCGTTTTCTCACTCTTCTCATCTGCAGCACAGAGTGACATTATAAAACTGACATTAAAAATTCAACTTAATGATACATATTTATCTGTTGGTTTGTGTTGATGTAGCATAGTAATACAGTTTTCCCACACAGTACCTTTAATCTTGAGTTTGTTTTGGAACTCGCGGTCGATCTCCTCCTTATTGAACTGGGCGTTGGCACTCTCAAAGTCAAAGTCTTTCTCAAATTTCATTGGTCCATCTCTACGCCCACTGAACCTGCCCCGCCCACGCTGACCGCCGCCTCCGCCACCACTGCCCCGCCCCTTTCTCACTGGAGGAGCACCACCTGGAGAGAGAAACAACCTTTATCACAAATGCAGCTTATGGTCCTGATCGTGATAATGTATATGTGACTCTGGAGCACAAAAGCAGTCATAAGTAGCACAGGTATATTTGTAGCAATAGCCAACAATACATTGTATGGGTCAAAATTATCCATTTTACTTTTTTGCCAAAAATCATTAGGATATTAAGTAAAGTTTATGTTCCATGAAGATATTATGTAAATTTCCTACCGTAAATACATCAAAACTTACATTTTGATTAGTAATATGCATTGCTAAGGACTTTATTCGGACAACAACAAGGCAATTTTTTCAATATTTAGATTGGTTTTTTTGCACCCTCAGATTCCAGATTTTCAAATAGTTGTATCTCAGCCAAATATTGTCCTATCCTAACAAACCATACATCAATAGAAAGCTTATTTATCTCCACTTCACTTTATGACTGGTTTTGTGGACCAGGGTCACATGTGTCAATGCAGGACAGGCATTCTAAAGTGACTCACCACCACCAGACTGCCGTTTGTTTGGGTCTTTGTTATCAGGCCTGTTTGAGTCCGATTCTGGCCGAGGAACCCTCTGAACATCAGACGCTGTAGCTGAACAACAGATATCACAATTAATGGCTGCAGGTGGAAAAACTCACTTCTTCAGCTGTATGTTTTCCAATGCCCTGATTCTCACCTTTCTGTTCCTGGTTTTCAGCAGCTTTCTGGCTGCTGAGAGCGGGTCGGGCCGTTCCAGGGCTCCTCCGACTCATCGTACTGGTAGCAGCCGCAGGGGGAGCGACCGGGGCCGTCTGGACCGCATGCTCCAGGGTCGGGGTCTTCCTCAAGGGCTCCAGAGATGGGCTGGAACGACCTGAAAGAGAGGACGCAATTCAGACTCACAAAAACACCACGACAATGCGGACAAGGGTTAAGTGATGGAAAACGTCAGAGCAGCTTTGTATCATTTAACTCGGTAAACATCAGTTGAAGTTCATCCATTAGTTTTTAATTTGCTGAAAATTTACTCAGATGCTCGCTAATGGATCCTCTGCAAGATGTAAGAAATGCATCAATGCCGAAATACAATAGTCCATAATCCACTGGAAAAAGTCCATCCCCCGTTGTCCTATCACATCAAAATCCACCCACATTTTGTTTTGGACTGTTTTGGTTTGTAACAGGTGCTTGATCTGTGCAGATTTCTCTCCTGATTCAGACGAGAAAGTAGTACAGATAGAGGCATTTTAGCCGGAAACAAAAATGGATTACTTGTGGATTAGGGGGATATTTTTATCAGATGTTTGGACTCTTATTCTGACGGCACCCATTCACTGCAGAGCATCCATTGCTGAGACACTGATGCAATGCTACATTTCTCCAAATCTGATGAAGAAGCAATGAGACACTGATGCAGTGCTACATTTCTCCAAATCTGATGAAGAAGCAAACTCAACATCTACATCTTGAATTATCTGAGGGTGAGGACATTTTCAGAAAATGTTCATTTTTGGCTGAACTATTCCTTTAAGACAACATGAAATAACCACCATTTGTAATGCATTTAACTTCTGTAATGTGCATCACAGAAACGGGACTTTCGTCCATTCAGAGCTGATTGGATTGTGTATATTGGGTTATGATTACTATAGTCAATAATACTATATTATTTGTCTTGCATTGCTTACATCAACACAAAAGATATTTCAAGGATAGGCAAAGTTCTTGCAATGCAATGAAAACAAAGACCAGCATTTATTTTTTTGATTTCATGTTGTCTTCAAAGACAAACTTCAAAGTTACTAACTAAGCTACTAACAGACCAGAGAAGAACGACACTCGACTCAGACACATGCTGTGATCCTGCATAATCACGGCCAAAATACGAACACACTAAAGCCATTCTTCACACGTTAGCGTCGGTTCTCGGGTTACCTTTGGGTTTGGTAGCACTCAGCGAGCGAGAGTGCAGGGGAAGAGCAGAGCTCTGGGACAGAGGGGCAGTAGTGCTCGCCTCGCTACCGAATGCAGGACCTGAGCTGCTTCCTGTGAGGGGAGGAAGTGTGGGCTTTAACACATCACACACTATGAGAAAAAACCCTCATATGAAGCTTACGTAACAGCCAAACATGCTTTAAGATCCACCACTTGCTAAACCAATGCTCACTCAATTTGCCCTTCTCAATATTTATTTAAACATATTGGGAAAAAAGGTTTTGTGCATCCTCTCCAGGTAAGTGTAACTGAATTTGCAGAAAATTTCCATTTAAGATCATTCAAACACACAGGACTTGCAAAATGACTGGCAAAGGATTGAAAAGAGCAATATCTCATCTAATAATGTAGCCGATGGCAACAGTAGTAAATTTTTTAAGGCAGGACTCGAGAAGGGTCAACTTTATTTTCTCTGGTTCTTGGCACATATTATGTGCACATTCATTCAATATGTGCAATTTGATATGCACTTGTGAATATTCTGTCTGTCTATCTAACAGTATTTATCCAAAAATGGCCAGCTATCCTCTTAACTTGCACTCTTTTCTATGCCACATCAGCAGCAAAGGCCACTTCAATGGCAAGAACAGGACAGTTCAAAATATAAGGACAAGGCAAGACACCACAGGTGAGGACAGTAAAAAAGAATAAAACTAACAGAACATTAATAAGGCAAATAAATATCCCCATACTTCCCCAGTTGATTAAATACATTAATTGTTCTGTATTACAATTTTTTAATGTTATGTTTAAATATGCAAATGAGGCATTATTTAACTAAATATGCACCAAATTGCATACATTTCCAGAGCAGAAATCTGAACATTGGATAAAGCCAGGTTGAAAATGTTTGATTTTGCTGATGTATTAAATGTTTTTACAGAGGGAATTTTGGATTGTATCACTACATAAATCAGAAAAAAAAGCAATAAAAAAATGTTAAGCATATTTTTTTTGAATAAAATGTTATGTGGACAGGGAATTATTTGTGAACAAACCCCTCTGTAAAAACCTTCAGAACATAGAGAGGAGCAAAACTCTGAAGTTTGCTTTATACAAGTGCTGCTGATGTGGAGAAAAGAATAGCCTTGTTTTGAAAGAATAGCCTTTAATGATATTAACTGTAATTGAAATCTGCAGATGCAAATAGATTTTGATTTAATTTAAGTTTATTGCCACATCAGCCTCACAGGCTATTTCATGGCAAACAAAGATTACACATTAGAAAACAATACAGTGGTACACAATGCAAAATACAAAAATTAAATAAAGCAATTATAAAACAAAGTTACGTACATAAAATTGTATAAAAGATTCTTTAAATTTACTTTTGAAAGAAATTGTAAAAGTTTTTCTGGGTTCATCTTATAAAACAAGTCCTTAAGAGTTTGTCCTGATAATAACCTTTGTCTCATGACATTAAATATTGGGCAGACCAAAAGCACATGTTGCACCGTCAAGTGAGTCCCACAATATTGACATTTTGGTGCAGATGCAAATAGATAAAGTGCAATAAAATTAACACTTGAATGTGTATTTCTCATGATTCTCTCCATGTTACGGAAGCAAAATAGCTCAAAATTGACTTGTGCATGGTTTTGCCTTAAAGCACATCAAAGATTAGTTTGATATTTGGCAAAAATTCTGAAAATTAATTTTGTTTGTGTATTCTCTTCAAAACACCATCTCCAATGCTGGAAGCTACAAGAGCGAGTGTGAACTCACCAACCGTGACCGCCGCTCCGAACGGCTGGGGTACCAGCGGACTGGAGCTGAACTGGCTGTACGGGGCCCGACTGAACGGGGCATACGACTGGAAGGAAGGAGCCGTGGGGCCGGCGGTGGATGCCAGAGAGGACTGCGCACAAACACAAGAACGAAACAGGTCAATATTCACTCTGTCTTCTGTTCTGCAGATACACCTGAACGTGTGAAGCCCACCTGCACGATGGCGGGATCCTGAGGAAGGTTGCAGGTGGGTTTGGGCGGCTCGCACACCGTCAGGTCTTTGATGTCACTTCCTCTGAATATAATGTACTCAAAGACATCATCTCGAGGAGGGATCGGTCTGTCCGTGGGACGATCCTCAGTGCCAAAGGACTTCACTAGAGGAGAAAACGAGACAGGAAAATGTTAAAATTCACAAAACAAGCAATGTTAGTTATTATCCTCACCACTCCATGTTTTTCTCTAGGTGTTAGGTGTAAGTTTGTTTACTTTATATCTGTATTTGATTTAGGCCAGATCTAAAGTAAATTAGGTAAGTGCTGTTCTCAGTGTATTAAAACTCTTTCATATCTAATTTGTGTGTAAACATATATGTGACCATGGGCCACAAAAGCAGTCATAAGTAGCACGGGTATATTTGTAGCAATAGCCAACAATACATTGTATGGGTCAAAATTATAGATTTTTCTTTTATGCCAAAAATCATTAGAATATTAAGATCATGTTTCATTTAGATATTTTCTAAATTTCCTACTGTAAATGTATCAAAACGTAATTTTTGATTAGTAATATGCATTACTAAGAACTTCATTCGGTCAACTTTAAAGGCGAGGTTTTTTTTAATTATACAATAAATAAAAAGACAACAGATAGAATAGAAAAAGAATAGAGCAAGCTAGTGTTAGAGGCCTTTTTTGCTTTTTCAAGTGCTATAACAAGTCTCAGTTAGCTTAAAGCAGTACACTTAGCAAGGTTTTTTTTAATTATACAATAAATAAAAAGACAACAGATAGAATACAAAAAGAATAGAGAAGCTAGCGTTGTTTTGTTTTTTTAAAGAAAACAAGCAGTTAGTAAATGAATAGAGTGCAAGTCTAAAAGGGACACGTTTTTTTTTTAAAGAATAGAATTAGAATAGAGAGTGCTAGAGTTAGAGGGTCAAATAAAGATGGAAGATTTGTGCTTTATTGTTATTATTATCATGTGCTTATTTATTCAGATTTCAGAGGATGTAAAAATCTCAATTTCACCAAATTGACACTTATGACTGGTTTTGTGGTCCAGGGTCACATATTTGCATATATAGTGGGAATATTTAGCCAGGGCTACAACATAATTCTCTTCTGTTTGTTCTCTGTAGGTGTGTGTATATTGTGTACATGTAATTTTGCGCGTGTGTTTATTGTACGTACCTTTAGCCAGAGCTACAGTGCTGTTCTCAGTGTCGATCGTGTATAAAACTCCCTCATATCGGATCTCGGCCTTTGAGATCAGACTGATCTTGCTGCCGATATAAGGCGTCCCTCCGCTCATCTTTCCGCTGGAATTCACTCCTGTGCGGCTGCTCGACTCCTCTGATTCTTCTTTGCGTAAGGTATTATCGCACTGAATGATGTTTTTCGGTGGTTCGATGTCGTTTCCTTTCAGTCCGAGCTTAGCACGACACGGCCGAATTCATTTTCCTCCGCACTGAATCGAGATGCATGCTGGGAAACGCGCCTCCCCCTCTCTCGCGCCCCCACGCTGGTATCGCGAGAGTTCGCGTGATTTTAGTATAACTCCCGTTACATTGGGAATTATGTAAGAGGCGAAATGCGATTTAACGCCGTGGGAAGTAAATAAAGGCGAATTTTGAATTAGAAATCAATAAAGGTTTTACTTAAATGGCTATAAAGAGAATAGTATAGATATGTGATGACTGTTCAGAATGAACTCTATTTCAATTATTGCCAAAGAGGAGTGCTGAGGCATTTCGTAGATGCACAATTACATATCTGGCATGCCAGATTATAAACCGCAAAACTGAATGATTATTTAATCATAAATACACTGAAACATCAGAGCAATAACTACACATAGCACGATTTAAAGCTTTATAATGTCATTCCAAGTATAGGCTATTGAATTCACATGCTTTGATAGACTAGATACTTCCATGAAACCTTTACACCATAATTTAATTTCTAATATATGCTTTGATGTCTATTTACTTTGAAATTTCGTCATCTTTTACCGGACTTTGTTTCTCTTGCTGCACGGACTCAGCCACAGGAACGTTGTCCCTAAATTATGAACAAACGTTCTTGCAGTAACGTTAACGGAATGTTCGTTCAAAGTTTTCTGGTCTTTACTAGTGTTCTGAAAACGTTAGCACAATTTAGACATCGTTTCCGTTGGACGTTCGTCTGACGTTTTTTTTTTTTAAATGTTACATTTCAGAATGTTCAGAGAACTTTAAAAAGTAACATTCTTATATCTATCTATCTATCTATCTATCTATCTGTCTGTCTGTCTGTCCGTCTGTCTATCGGTCTATCATCTATCTATCTATCTATCTGTCCATCTATCTGTCTATCTATCTATCTATCTATCTATCTATCTCCCTTCCCTCCAGACTCGTGTAGTATCCTCGGCCGCCTGGAGTTGTAACAGGGGTGACAACTGTTTGGTTTTGGCCCTCTGACGTCACATCCATTCCCACAATGCCATAGTAACACGACTGCGCACTCGCGCTCGTGGACGCGCACCAGCAGAGACAGCCCATCACACACAGAGAGCGAACATGGCGGGCGCCTCCGACCCTCTGGAAGACATGCTCTTCTCCGAGGTGGACGAGAAAGCCGTGAGCGATCTCTATCTATCTATCTATCTATCTATCTATCTCCCTTCCCTCCAGACTCGTGTAGTATCCTCGGCCGCCTGGAGTTGTAACAGGGGTGACAACTGTTTGGTTTTGGCCCTCTGACGTCACATCCATTCCCACAATGCCATAGTAACACGACTGCGCACTCGCGCTCGTGGACGCGCACCAACAGACAGCCCATCACACACAGAGCGAACATGGCGGGCGCCTCCGACCCTCTGGAAGACATGCTCTTCTCCGAGGTGGACGAGAAAGCCGTGAGCGATCTGGTGGGCTCGCTGGAGTCTCAGTTGGTGGGCCAGAGCGAGCCGCCCGCCGCGCGCCAGAGCAGCGCGAAGCAGCAGCAGCAGCAGCAGCAGCAGCAGACAGGAGGAACAGCGCAGCTGCCTGCTCCTGTAGACTCTCCATCAGAACCACAACAACAAGCGCAGCAGCAGCAGCAGCAGCAGCAGAACGCGCGGAAAGCGGCGCGCAACCCGGATTCTGACCCGAAAGACGCCAGCATGGATAAGCACGCCAAAGCTCTGGAGAAGGAGAGCCCTCTGAAGTCGCATGGCAGCATCATCATCATCACTACAGCAGCAGCAGCAGCAGCATCCGACGCTCCTGCACCGGGCAACAAAGGTGAGAGCCCGAGGGACACCCGCAAGAAACACCTGGGGAAGTCGCGCACGCTGCGCTCCGCAGCATCCCACAGTCTCAACGGCAACGGAGGCGACGCAGCATCAGCATCATCACCCAGCACCTCCAGCACGACTTTCTCCGTGTCCAGTAACCCGCAGGCGATCTCGCTGGACCGCGGGACGCCCACCATCGCGCTGCACCGACTCCCGCGTCACATCATCGCCAGCATCGCGCAGAATGGAAACGGCACGTCGGTGTCCGAGTTGGTCCAGCAGGGCGCGCGGATCAACCACAGCAAAACACCCGCGGACAACAACGCGAAGCCAGCGGCGACCTCGGCCACAGCAGCGCCTGTCAAACCCACGGTCATCAGACCTGCGCAGACGCAGCCGCAGCCGCCTGCGCAGCAGAGGGTCGTAACGCCGCAGCTGATTGTCAGACCACCGCAACAGCAAACTACTATACAGCTGCCGCCCGGATTCACCATCCCACCAGGTACTTATGACTTACTAGTGTTTGATGTGCACTACCTAGTCTCCTCTGACTCTTCCACATGTTAGAATAACAGCAAAGTGATGCAAACTCTGAAATAACTCAGCTGGAACTCTGGGAAATGAAGAAGTGAGCATAACATGACGTAAATGAAATCTCTCATATTTGAGCTTCTTGCTTGTTATTCTGCACATCAGTCAACCAACTTCATCCTGTTATGCTTTTAAGAGCACTTGTTGATGCTCTTTCTTCTCTATCTGCTTTAATTGATCCTTTAAAAAGTCCAAATGAAACTCATAAGCAGGCATAATTTCGTATATTTGACTACGAGACTGCTTTCATGCATTTAAACAGAAGCATTTAGCATAAATTTTGTTTTCTGACATCACAAGAAACATAAATTCTGTCAACTGTGTCTAAATGTATGAACACTTAAACATTTTGGTTCTATTAGGGACAAAAAAGTGTGTTTTCCCCCTTTAAGTTGAACTTTTGAAAGACTTGAAAAACATGATTTGGCAAATATCAAATGGTTAAATAAATACAAATATATTTAGTGGCCTCAAAAAAGTATTTAGACACTTAAGTGACTTAAATATGTGAATGTCATTCAGTGTCTTGATTGGTGATAAAATGCTGCAGGTGTCTGTCTCTAAATTTCAAACTTTTTTTTTTTCATATGTTGTACTTGAGAAGTGTGTTTGTGCTCTCTCTCTCAATCATAAAAGAGTCATAACATATACATAAGAATAGAAAAATAATCATTTAATAATATTAAGTTTTAATCTGCATGTAAAAAAAAAAAAGAATGAACAAATATGGTTTTAAATAGATGATGCTTAAAATATTTCACATCATTTACTCAAATGCTAGTTTTCATCTCATTATTTTCATTATTTTCTAGGGAAATCCATACTTCTATATCAGACAGACATATGCTTGCTTTGACATTTTGTTATGTAACACAATATTTTGTATATAATGGCACTCAAACATTTTAACGTGTTGCTCAAGTCTCCAGATACTTTCTTCTCTATGAGTTATGTATGCATTTTCAGTATATGTAAACAAATCTCACACCAGATGATGATGATGTAAGTAATTACTTTTGTGAGTTGATCAAATCCGGAGCTGCAGCATTGATGATCTGATGCTTTAAAGAACCCAAACACACTGATCTGAAGATCTTTATCAGTAACTTTAGTTTAAACATACAGGTGTTTTTTTTTGCTGAAGGTGCTGAATGGTGAAAGTTTGGATGAGATCTGAACCTAAAAGCAGCCCAAATGAGTAAACACATCTTGAGTTTAAATGATAATTTGTGTAGATGAGCTTTACATCGCTGCATTTGGATGATGACTGATGAGTTTGGTGATCATCATGATGCAGAAACTGTCAATAATGAGCAGAAAGTAGATCAAAAAGTGACTTGATATCTTACAGGACTTTCACACTGCTCACAGATGACAGTCTCAAGTCTAGCAAAGAGAAATCATTTTTATTTACTTTAGATTTTAATGATGAAGAATGATTCATCATCAGTCTACAGTTAACTTGCACTTTCTTTCAGTAAAAATACGAAGCTTTAGACAGATTCAGCTGTTGCCTTCTCACTCTCAGACTGAATGTGTTTAAGCACTATAAAACCAGTGAAATCTGAACTCTGATCATTATTTCAAACTAATATTGTTTTTAACGGTGAAAGCTGTCTGAGTTTAATTGTGTGTGTGTGTAATGATCTGCAGTTAAACACATTCACAGTGTTTTTTTTTTTTTTTTACAAAAACAAACTGCTCTGTTTAAAACACCTAAACATCCTAATTTGAATGTCTTTAGTGCAGGGCGTTTACATAAAGCATGCACTATATATAGCATGCGCTATATATCATACATAATACATTTAGATAAAAGTATTTAAAGATAATCAGAAAATAATTAGAATACATATGAAAAAAAAAAACATTTATTACAATTTTTAATTTGTAATAAAATTTATTTTTTCATGTATTTTTTAGCATAATGCATTCACATAAAGACATCAGACAGACATATGCAAGAAAAAAAAACATATAAGAATGACTTAGAATCTTAATTATTCAATTTTGCTTTCAGAAGAATCCAAAGGCTTCAGTTGTTGATTGTAAGTTTTTATGTTTCAAGCACGGTTTTGTGATGCTTTGTTATATTTTTCAGAGTTCAGAGGTGAATAACACGTGTATGTGTTGTGTTGTGTGTGTTTGAGGTATGGTGCTGGTCCGGACAGAGATGGGTCAGCTGGTGATGGTTCCTCAGCAGGCTCTGGCTCAAGCTCAGGCCCAGAACAGCATCTCGCCGCGGCCCTCCACACCCACCAGCGTGGCCACGTTCAGGGTCACGACCCCACAGGTACAGCCCATAATGCTCTAGAGCCACAGCGATCTGACGCACAGATGAGGTTTCTCTCTGAAACTTAAGAACCAAATTGCTCCCAAAACTCCCGCTGTAAAACTCGAATGACATCAAGCAGTTTGAAGTCAGACCGGATGCATTTCATCAAACCTTTTTTATTGTTTTTGCAAAGACAATATTGCAAAATGTTTCCGTGTCACTGATATAACTGAAAAATATCTGCTGAGATTGAACACACTCCTCTGCAAATTAAAGATCCGTTTGCTTGCTTTTCCTGATTGAAAGTCGAGATCATACATTCGAAATCTCTCTCTTTTATATTTACAAATGTACTTTTGATGAAAGGAAAATATCAGGATGATCTGATGGTGTGGTGCAGTG